CACTGAGTGAGATCCCGTATGGCTGCGGATCTGGATCAGCTCATAATGAAACACAGACTTGTTTTGTCGTGTGATTGATCGCTTATGAATCAAGCTGGGAATGTGTCACTTTACTGTTACTCTTAAATGCACCAATCTCACAATCTTATTGCTGTTTGTCCCATAAACACCAACAGCAAATTATGATTAGAGTGCAACAGGACTAAAGCCAATTCAAGGCTTTGTTTCTGTAACATTTACAACATACATTCATTCACATAGTTTAAATCCTGTATGACTTATCGTCTTCTGTGAAATATAAAGTATGTTTACAAGAATGTCAGTAGCTAACTCACTTTGGTGACCATTGACCTCCATTGTATAGGAAATAAATACACCAATACACCATATTTCTCAAAATATCAACTTGGTGTGTTCTACAGAAGAAAGAAAGTAGGAAAATTAGGATAAATGATGACGGAATTTTCATTTTTGAGTTGACTATCCCTTTAAAGGAAAATGTGCTCACCCTCAGATCATCCGAGATTAGGATGAGTTTGTTTCTTCATCATTTTGGTGTGATTCCTGTATAAGTACTATATAAGATATCAACACCCAGTTTTTAGAAATACCGTTTCCATCCAGCGCCCCCTGATATTCTCTGAATGCCCCGTTAAGAAATGTTGCACTAGCAGATTATAACAAGATTTGCACATGCCTCAAAAAATACTAAACCACATGTTGAGGAAAGGGCTGTGTGCATTTAAATAATAAGAATATAATGCCAACAATTTGAGTGGAAAAGTTCATGCCGAAAGAGCCCGTATAATTGCAGAAAATAAATTTATAAAGCAGGCATTAAAAAAGGAAAGCAGCAACACCGTAAACAGACCTTTCAACTTCACACATGCCAATTTCCACAGGAACTGTCATCCAATTAACTGCTGGAAACAACACCGCGTCTGGCCATCCTTACCCACACAAATCAACCAATTAACTAATTACATGAATATCTGACGCTGCTGTATTTACCAGCCAATTATTTCCGCTCAGCTGCACAGAGGTGGTGAGCGATCGCTGAGAAGTTCTGCTCTGGTTTCTGACATGACTACAGAGAGAAACTTGTTGGCACAAACGTCGAGGAGAGATTTTCTTCGACTTCAACTTTGTGTGTTGTGTGGGCAGCTGTCTCGTAACAACAGATCCCCTCCTTTAAAGCGGTTCGAATGTCTTCTGTCAACCCGGCGATTACCCACAATCCTCCTTCAAGTGTTATTACTGGATTATAATTTATATCGCCGCTCATCGCCGGTGACGAGTGAGCAGATGCCAAATGCGTGGGCACCATGATAAATTCACAATGGGAACCCATTTACAGTGAGTTTAAGTTAAAGACAATTTGTTCACGCCGTTTGCAGCAGTGTTCATTTCTACATTTTTAACATTGTATATATTGTACTGTGAACAAGCATGAGATAATATGTGACCCTGGAGCACAAAAGCAGTCTTAAGTCACTGGGGTATATTTGTAGCAATAGCCAACAATACATTGTATGGGTCAAAATTATCCATTCTTCTTTTATGCCAAAAATCATTAGGATATTAAGTAAAGATCATGTTCCATGAAGATATTTAGTAAATGTCCTACCGTAAATATATCAAAACTTAATTTTTGATTAGTAATATGCATTGCTAAGAACTTCATTTGGACAACTTTAAAGATGATTTTCTCAATATTTAGATTTTTTTGCTCCCTCAGATTCCAGATTTTCAAATAGTTGTATCTCAGCCAAATATTGTCCGATCCTAACAAACCACACATCAATGGAAAGATTATTATTCAGCTTTCAGATGATGTATATACCTGAACTTATAAAACTTATGACTGGGTTTTGTGGTTCAGGATCATATATGAATTATAGAATATTCCTAAATTAACATTTATCTAGATTAATTATTGTTGCAAAAGAAATCTTCATTGTTATTTTAGGACACAGTGCATTAACTACTGGTAATGAACTGAACCTTATTGTGACCTCACAATGATTTTTATTCATTTCTGTGAATTAGTTCAAATTGTTTGCATGATTGACTCAAAAGTCTGATTTAACATTAGTTTGTGTCGTTCAAAAATGTTCACAAAATTTCTGTATTTTAACGTTTTAGTATGAATGTAATGTAGGTAAATACTGTATTGTTTAGTGCATAGAAAATAATTAAATATTTTTGCATTAAATATTCTAAATCTATACATGTACAGTGGCTGTTCGGCAGAAATACAAAGGTAACCGTAACTGTTATTTTTATCACACAGTCGAGTTTCTCGCGTCATGCCCTCTAAGGCGCGTGTATTTCCACCTGTGGTGTATGTGAATGTACAACACACCTCTGTCACCCAATACACACATGCAGCTCAGCCCGCGGCCCTGACCCATGAAAGCCACAATTACTGCAGCGCTCCCCGACGGCCCGCAGCAGTGTAAGTCCATCCCAACCCTCTCATTTCTAATTACCGCCGCCTGAGGCCAGGTGAAAAGCCAGTGGTGATAACATCTTCTCTTCTACCTGTAGCCAAGCAGAAAACACACAGCTCAGTGTGCGCACATTATTACACTCTTCCAGACATGTGGAGAATTTGCTTTTAGAGGAAGGTTTGTCAAGAGCCAGCGCTGCTGTCGGGGGTTTGGAGGTAAGCCGTGCCGGCAGATCGCTCAGGGCTCATTTGGACAAGCGTTTCCGCGTTGGGTGAAATTTTACATTCCTTCAATACGCACACGGATCCGGTGTGTGCCGGTCTAAACAAACAACAAAAACACAAAGATCCTCTCAAGTGTATTTCTGTCTCCTGCAGCTCATGTGAAAGGTTTAAAACACAGACGGTGTGATCGCTCATATTCACACACTGAATTATCTGCTTAAAAACAGATTTAGAAGAGCGCAGATAAGACAAGGGATGGGATTTGGAAAAAAGGGATTTTGATAGAAAAAAAAAGCAAAAAAAAAAACAAGAGGTAATCCCAATGCATCTGAAACCCTTCAAATAATAGAAAGGGACAGAAGACTTACAACTCCACATTTATATTCTAATCATTCAAGCTTTAAAACGGACTATAAACATTACATGTAAAACAGCTACTGGGTTATAACACTCTACAGTCCATTAGTGTAAACCACAAACAAATTCATCATTTCAAAATAAACACATACTTTCAGAAAGAAACGTTTTGGGGTCTTTGCACATTATTTACTTCATAGTAGTACCTTAAGGGCACATATTACTACTTCATGGTACTAATAAGCACCTTTTAGGGGTAGATAAGGTACAAAGGTGTCATCTTAAGGGTGTTGCCCCAGTGACAAACAGCAATTTTAGCAGATTTTAATTTTTTTAGCAGCATGTACCTTGACATTCATGTGCAGTTTTAACAGCACTCAGATGTTAATTTAAAAAGAGGAAATCATAAATGTGTGTTAAGACAGGGTCATATTTACCATTGCTCAGTGCAATTTTGCAGCTGAAATAATGTAGGACCGGACATGGCAAAATACCATGAGTGAAATACAGGAATAATGATGATAAAAGAAACATTGCTTTTTATGAATCATTTTATGATTATGAGTAGACACCGCCAGAATGGCTGTTTTTTTGGTAACTTTCTTCACCCACACAGAGGTCATAAGAGCTTTATGTTTTTGTCAGATCATAATTAAAAAACTAATACTTCCCAACTGTAAATCCTAACTGGATGAGCCACGTTTGAATACACAGTCTGTGGCACACATTCTATAATGGGGCATGTGATGACGGTGCTTGACAATCGTAAATGATCCACTCTTTTATACTGTTATATTGATTATGCTGATGCGTTCTGGTCTGTTATTAATACATTAAGCTACTTATTGCATATAGGTGTCTTTTATTATGTTGCTGCTTGCCAATGTGTGTTACAGTAATGTTATACTGATGATCCAGAGATTTTCCAAATATGTGACAGTGATGTTACAATTATGTTACTGAGATGTTACAATGGCGTTACAGACATGTTACACTGATCCTACAGAGATATTACGGTGCTACCGAGCTGTTACGGTAATGTTACAGAGATGTTACAGTGATCCTACAGAGATATTATGGTGCTACAGAGATGTTACGGTAATGTTGCGGAGATGTTACAGTGACCCTACAGAGATATTACGGAGCTACAGAGATGTTACGGTAATGTTACAGACGTTACAGTGATCCTACAGAGATATTACGGAGCTACAGAGATGTTACGGTAATGTTGCAGAGATGTTAGAGTGATCCTACAGAGATATTATGGTGCTACAGAGATGTAGTTACAGAGATTTTACAGTGATCCTACAGAGATATTACGGAGCTACAGAGATGTTACGGTAATGCTACAGAGATGTTACAGTGATCCTGCAGGGATATTAAGGTGCTATAGAGATGTTACGGTAATGTTGCAGAGATGTTACAGTGATCCTGCAGGGATATTACGGTGCTATAGGCACCGTAATATCCTACAGAGATATTACGGCGCTACAGAGATGTTACAGTAATGTTACAGAGATGTTACAGTGATCCTACAGAGATATTACGGTGCTACAGAGATGTTACGGTAATGTTACGGAGATGTTACAGTGATCCTATGTTACAGAGATGTTACAGTGATCCTACAGAGATATTACGGTGCTACAGAGATGTTACGGTAATGTTACAGAGATGTTACAGTGATCCTACAGAGATTTTATGGTGCTACAGAGATGTTACTGTAATGTTGCAGACATGTTACAGAAATGTTACAATCAAGTTAGGTTGTGAGATTTTATGGTGATGTTTCAAATGTATGTGGTCGTGGTCAAATCACTTAACCTACTTAACGTCACTTATGATCACATTTGTTCTGTGTTTTACGCTAGTTTCAGCCCTGCGTCACCTGAAGGTCAGAAGTCTAAGAATAGGATCGTTGTAAAACCTCAATGGTAGCTGGACTGCTCAAGTCCTGCCTGTCACCCACCGTACGCTGCCACTTTGATGAGGAGGGCTTGGAGGCCACTTGATATGATCTCTCTGAGCAGCTCGGCCTGGTCTCGGCGCCACAGGTACGCCAGCGGCTGGAGCTGCAGTCTCGCACACCTGCAGAGAGAACCACAGCGTCAAGCCGAGAAATAAGAGAAACCAGAGGCGTAGAATTAGACGTGGGGGACATTAGGGATATGTCCCTACCAATATCCAGCGACTTCCAACTTGTCCCTAGCAATAATTTTGATCAAACAATTAAATATATGTATATGTTTTTGTAATTTCGGACGCATCTAAATATGTCATACCATTGATATTACCTAAGAAGTTAAAGCAAATACTTTAGAAAACTGTGTGCTTTCAAGGACACACATTTAATACATGGGCGAAGTAAGAACGCAAGGTAGTTGCACGCTGGACGAGAAGCGCAGCTGCGTTTAGAAGACAGCAGTCCAAAACAGTTCAAATAAAAGTTAACTTCAGGAAGTTGTGTCGATAAATTTGATATACGGTGTTTGACAAAACAGAGCAAACGGAAAAAGAAAGCGCGATCTATGGCTATTATTAGCTCTCTATATAAAGCATACTGACAGAAAGACAAATGTTGTGCTGAAAGATGCACAATAAACAATCTTCCAGCCTAGGATGAAGTCATTATGTACACTAACAATAAGCTCAATGCCAGCGTCACAGGTCAAACTGAGTGCTCGGGTGATTAGGGCAATTAGCACGAGACGGTCGTGCCCCGCAGCATTACAGGCTGTCAGGTATACAGATGGGGTTACACCATTTACCCCGCGGTATCAGCGGAGGAACAATAGCTGACTGACAGCTCAAGTGAAGGAAAAACGGCTGCAGAGACCAAGACTGAGCTGTGTCGAAGTGAAAAACACATTCACAGCATGTTCAATAAGTTTGCGGTGTCCGTTTAATGTTCAGAGTCACTGGTAGTTTGGCATCCTAAAGAGTGAAACTCTGTGACACTTTCACAACACTGATTTGTTTGAGAAAATGTCTGAAACAACCTATAGAAGTTTGGGGCGGCACTTTCTGTTTGACTGACCAATGAAAGACAAGAGCAGTGTTCAAGAAACAGCCGATTGCAATTTCATTCAATGACACTTCTACAAATATTATATAGTTATGCGTTCAGATTTTTCATAAAACAAGATTCTTTGAGCATGAAAGCGTGACATATCTCATTATTAATTACACTATACATTTGTTTAAAAGTTTGAGTTTTTTTTTTATTCATACTTTTATTCATCAAGGATGCATTAAATTGATCAAAAGTGACAGTAAAGACATTTATAATGTTAAAAAAGACTTTCTATTCATCTGTGAATCCTGAAAAATAAAATGTATCCCGGTTTCCACAAAAATATTCATCAGCACAACTGTTTTCAACATTGATAATAATCAGGAATGTTTCAGCAAAGCAGCATATTAGAATGATTTCTGAAGATCATGTGACACTGAAGACTGGAGTAATGATGCTGAAAATACAGCTGCGCATCACAGAAATAAATTACAGTTTAACAGATATTCACATAGAAAACAGTTTTAAACTGTAATAATATTTTACAATTACTGTTTTTACTGCATTTATGATCAAATAAATGCAGCTTAGATGAGCAGAAGAGATTTCTTTCAAAAATATTAAAAAACTTTCTGACCCTAAATTTTTGTTTTGAATAAACGTAGATTTAAAACACACATGGGTTTACCTTGATAATGTTCAATAAATGTGTCTATTTTATAGGTACACTTCAAACACTTTGGGTTTAGTCAGTGAGCTGAGTTTGAAGAACAGAGAGACAAATAAACTTGATCATTAGTAGTAGTGTAGTAATACAGCTTTTAATGCCACATCAGCATCTGATGATAGCTTCATGGCAAAAACAGAGTTACAAAATATAAGACTTCCTGATCATATTAGCATTTATGAATTTGATTAATTAATTTATTCATCCAAAATGATGCACGGTTGTACATGCTAGACACAAGGCATTGGTATATTGGCTAATTGTTGTGCCAATGACATATTGGAGTCTATTAAGTGTCCTTCATGTGTGAGAAAGGGAAAGGAGAAACGAGAGAAAGAGGGTCCACTTACACATTTTCCACACGTACTCTCTGGTAGTCGGACAGAATGGCCCCAACAGATACTGCCTCAACATGCTCCTTCTCCTGAAGAACGAGAGGAAGGCAAGTCAAAGATCTGAGACGATAGATGAGAAGCTGCAGGTTCAAACTGCAGAGAGTGATCCAGTGACGCTGTGATATCATGTCAATGTCACACAAATATCACCGGCCTCAGGCAACATGATGATAAATAAACACTAACACACACTGACACCATGACCAAATCAGACGCAACTCTACATTCTCATGCAATTAGTTACATTACTTTAACAAACTAATTGAAATAGTTACACTAGTTATTACATTTTAAATAGGGTGATTTCATTAGACATGATACATTTCGGTAATATGTTGTGTATCTTTCGATACGTTCTGAAGTTCACTCATGTTCATTTTGTGCTATAACTAATAGTAAAGTGTAATAGTAAAGTGAAACTTTCACTTTCACTAAAGTGGAAGAGACTCGCGCTGTCACACCATATTCAACAGCATCAAAACAGCATTAATTGTCTGAATTTTGTGATAAAATGAACAGATATGAGAGCTGAGACTTTGTTTCTTATCACAAAGCTCTTAGTGATTATTGAATAAGAGGTGCTATAAATAATGCTTGTTGAAGGGAAACTGCAGATCTGGCAACCCTGGCTTGAACTATAGGTTATTCACTGGGTCAAACGGAACCTGAGTTAATGGCGCTGTTTGTTTAAGCAAACTTATGTTAATGTGTACTGTGCTGACTGCCCTAAATTCTACACAAGAGACATTTTCTTTACACACAGTATGAGCTGCAGTATTTTCTGCCCACTTTTGATTGACAGGATATAATCGTCCCTGATCATCGGCTGTTCATAAAAGCCATCGGCGGATGTCAGACAGTGCTTTTATCAGCCAATACCGATTATTGGCTGCAATATCAATATGCAATATGCAATATATATCTCTCCTGTACGTCCACGATATCCTCACAAACACTGAATCTGGAGGACCTCCGAGCCGTGTGTGCAGCTCATCCCGCTGGTCAAACTTCAGACATGAACACAGCATCAGTGCTGGAACGCCGCTCAAGCGCTGTCAGACGCTCATGCCTTTGGCAAACCCAGATAAGGCCTATCGCTTTCCATCAGCACTAAACAAGATTGAGCAAACTACATTAGGCAGAAAATACAAACAAATTACAAGAGCTTTAGGCTACGCTCTTTATCTGGCACTGGGACTGTGTGTGTGTGTGTGTGTGTGTGTGTGTGTGTGTGTCCTGCCTTTACACACACACATCTGACATGATCAGAGTCTCGTTCAGCTGTTCCCATGAGGCAAACAGCAACCACACACTGCGTAAATATGAAATCAAACCCTGCGTGCCATTATTTTGTTCCACAAACACAGAAGAACTTCTGATGAATCTTCACGCTGCACACAAGCCTCTTCTGAAATCACAAGAAGCTTTGGAATGGAAGAGAGAATGACATTAAGTCATTATTCACTAACAATTAGGCCTATGCCTCATGGACGAATCAATTCAATGCACAATTCACTGGGCTTTGATTCAATTTTAAAAAAGAGCCAATTCAGAACAATTCAATTTGATTCAACAATTTGATCTTATTAACAATTCAGTTAATAATTAATTGAAATGCATTTACAGTAGGATTCTGTAAATGCTTCTCCCAATGCATCTTAGACAAGACAAAGTAAACAAACTACACCAGACTGTTTATTGAACTCAAAGTTACTTAAGTCAAGACACTTCCGGCAAAACCACTGTTTTCTCATTTTGAGCTTTTGGTCTGTTTTGCTTCCATAACATGTCTCTTCTTTCAGACTAGTGGAACGAAAACATACACAGTACACATGTAAGTGCATATTTTATTGCAGTTTATCTATTTGTGTCTGTAGATTTCAATTAAAATCATAACTAAACACCTTATTTATAAATGTTACTCTTAAAAACAAGGTGAAAGTGTGTTTGTTTTCTGTCTGTTGACAGTATTTTCTGATTGAAGGAGTGATAATTTGACGACTTTGCCACATTCTTCATTAATAAAATTACAAACCTCAGTGCACAATTTGCCACACCTCAATCTGTCAAATACGTCTTACCATCAAACATACACTCGTTCACATCCTTCTCTTCACTCTCTGAGGCAGAAGTCTCTAAACTCATCCTTTCCAATCATCCTACTACTTGTCCGCTTGATCCTATTCCATCTCATCTCCTTCAAGCCATTTCTCCTGCCGTTGTACCTGCACTCACTCACATCGTTAACACATTTTGGATAAAAGTGTCTGCTAAATGACTAAATGTAAATGTAAATGATAAAAAGAGAAATCCAAAATCCTCCAAATTTCATGCTCTCAAAATGATTTTCATTCTAATGAAGAAAAGAAACGAATGAAGATACTGTGAAAATGAGAACATACAGGTTTGGAACTATTAAAAAGAAAGAAAGAAAGAAAGAAAGAAAGAAAGAAAGAATTAAGTTAAAGTATCAAAATAACTTAAAAACTATATAATTCATAAAAAATATATAGATATATTTACAAAAAACAACAAAAACACAATCTAATTACTATAACGTTAATATTACAATGAGAATGAAAAATATAAAACTAAAAACTAATTTAAAATATTAATGACACTTCAATGGTATCTTTTTGGAACGACATCAGGCTGAGTAAATGATGACAGATTTTTTTTTTTTTTTTTTTGCTTTAAACCCTAGTAAAAATGTAATATATTTAAAATACATTTATTTCATACTAAGTATAGTTCAAATCTATTAACATATTTACTGACATATCTCTCGAGACTTACTGATATAAAATTATAATTAAACTTTATTTGGGGTACTACTTCTACACAATGCACATTTCGTAATATTAAGCCTAAAATGCATTTTAATGTCAATATTGATGATTGTATGATCTTTGAATAATATCGATCTTTAAATGCAAAATATTTAAAGTGTACCTTGCAATAGCTCCACTTTAGCACAATCTAATATACTTCAGTATATCTTTAGTTGGACTTCAGCACTAACTTCCGCACAATTAAAGTGCATTAAGAACTAAATTAGTTGTTCCACTTTAGCAGACTTAGTTTAGTAAACCAAAAGTACACGTTTTTATTAAGTGCATAAATATGCACATGTATTTGTAGTATTCTTAGCATTAAATAAATGTATTTCGAATACTTATTTTTCACTAGGGAAATAATAAAAGCAGAACAAATGTTTGATTCAGAACGGATCGAGGCTGACGCTGTGATGTAAATGTCATGTCGACAGTAATCAAATAAATGTGGCGGCAGTGGCTTCAGCTGGAGTTATTTAATGAGACGTTCCTCCGGCTGCAAACCCGCACAGGTAAAGCGCTCTTCTATTAGCTGCGCTATCGATCGCCGCCGTCCTGGGAGTGACCCGAGAGCTCATAATTTATGTATTAAGCAGGTTTAAAGGTATCCATTTCTTTTTATGTTCTTTTTCAGTAGTAATGTGGAAGTAATCAGAGACGGTTTGATTTTTGAGAAATCCACCTGGACGCCCGCGGCTCGCCGGACACGGCCTTCTGAAGCCGCTGGATAAAAGTTGGAGCGGAGGAGAGAAAACAAAGGTGTGTTTGGACTGGAGGGCCTGTCGGACCCCGCTCTCGAGGGACGCTCGTCTGTCGATACCGGAGCGGGGCCCGTGGGGCTCCTTAAAGAGCAGCATAGCTCCGCCTCTGATTGGTGTGCGTTTCTTACACGCACCGGCGGAAGCAAGCGTTTGAAGGTGATCGAGCACTCGGTGCATCTCAGGACATGAGAAAATAACCATCCTGCACAAACACAATGACTATTCATGCACACTTCCAAACTCCAGAGTCAAAGGCTGCACAGAAACAGAGTAATTCTTCACAGTAGTTGTACAGTTTTTAATGCCATGTCAGCAACTAAGACTATTTTTATAACAAGAACTGAGTTACCATAGTTACAGGAAAATACAGCCAAGCAAAAAGAAAAACACAGCCGTTAAGATTAAGATATTTTACATGTGAGCCTGCAGCACAAAAGCAGTCTTAAGTCGCTGGGGTATATTTGTAGCAATAGCCAACAATACACTGTATGGGTCAAAATTATAGATTTTTCTTTTATGCCAAAAATCATTAGGATATTAAGTAAAGATCATGTTCCATGAAGATATTTTGTAAATGTCCTACTGTAAATATATCAAAACTTAATTTCTGACTAGTAATATGCATTGCTAAGAACTTCATTTGAACAACTTTAAAGATGATTTTCTCAATATTTAGATTTTTTTGCACCCTCAGATTCCAGATTTTCAAATAGTTGTATCTCGGCCAAATATCGTCCTATCCTAACAAACCATACATCAATGGAAAGATTATTTATTCAGCTTTCAGATGATGTATAAATCTCAATTTTAAAAAATTGACCCTTGACTGGTTTTGTGCTCCGGGGTCACATATATGACAAAAATGCTAAACCTTTTTCTAGTAAATTCTTACTAAACCAGTTCTTAAGTGAGGATCCTGAATAAAAATGTTGTCTACTTGTATTCAAAGCAGGACAGACCATATAATATAATATATGCTTAATGGAAAAAAGGTTAATGCTTGCAGAACGTAATGCTTTACAGTATCAACATCAGTTAAGCTTTCATTTATTATAGTTAATGTTAATTTCAACGTGAAAGATTTAACATTTAATAAAGGAAACTTATTTCCACTACAAAAAAAAAATCAGAAATGCAAGGAATAGACTCTAAAAAGTAAAAAAAAAAAAAAAAATGTTAGACGTAAACTCGCAAAAATGTGCCAATGTCTACTTTTTTCAGAATTGCAATTTATTAAATGTGAAATATGAACTCGCAACTGCGGGGGAAAAAAAGTAGAATTGAGAGATTTTTTTTTTTTTTATTAGTCTATGGCAGAAAAAAATAAGAATTGTTAGATGTAAACTCAGAATTCTGAAAAAAAAAAAAAAAAAAAATCAAAATTGCGATATGTAAACCCAGAATTACAAGTTTATAACTCACAATTGTGAGATA